TTTTTGCCTGCCTTGCAGTACGTGCCTGGATAGTTTGTGGATATAATTACTGACTGGAATCTGGGCTGTTGCAGTTGAGCGTGGGGGGGAGAGAGGAGAAAAGAAAGCATCCCCCCCCCCTCTCCGCCGACCCTTCTTGCTCCCCCCCACACATTTTTTTATCTCCCCCTTTGCTGGTGGTTCGGACATTTAATGTATTGAATGAACTGGAATTGCTTTCCGTGTGAGGAGGATGGTTGCTGTTACTTTGTGATGAGATCGGGAATGAATTGCTCGGTTTAAAAATGCTGCTTTGGATTCTGTTGCTGGAGACGTCTCTTTGTTTTGCTGCTGGAAACGTTACAGGGGACGTTTGCAAAGAGAAGATCTGTGCCTGCAACGAGATAGAAGGGGATTTGCACGTAGACTGTGAGAAAAAAGGATTTACCAGCCTGCAACATTTCACCGCCCCAACTTCCCAGTTTTACCATTTATTCCTGCATGGCAATTCCCTGACTCGACTTTTCCCTAATGAGTTTGCTAACTTTTACAATGCGGTCAGTTTGCACATGGAAAACAACGGTTTGCATGAGATTGTTCCTGGGGCTTTCCTTGGGCTGCAGCTGGTGAAACGCTTGCACATAAACAACAACAAGATCAAATCGTTCAGGAAGCAGACTTTCCTGGGGCTGGACGATCTGGAATACCTCCAGGCAGATTTTAATCTGTTGCGGGATATTGACCCGGGAGCATTTAGGGACTTAAACAAGCTAGAGGTGCTGATTTTAAATGACAATCTCATCAGCACCTTGCCCCCCAACGTGTTTCAGTATGTGCCGATCACCCACCTCGACCTCCGGGGAAACCGTCTTAAAACCTTGCCTTACGAGGAGGTCCTGGAGCAGATCCCAGGCATTGCTGAAATCCTGCTAGAGGATAACCCCTGGGACTGCACTTGCGATCTGCTGTCATTGAAAGAATGGCTGGAAAACATACCTAAAAACGCTTTGATCGGCAGAGTGATTTGTGAAGCTCCCACTAGGTTGCAGGGCAAAGATTTAAATGAGACCACAGAGCAGGAGCTGTGTAAAAAGAACAGAGTAGACTCCAGCCTAGCTGCTCCCCCTGCCGAAGAAGAAACCTGTGATCCTGGTCCCATTCCAACCCCCTTTAAAATACATGGCAAAGAAGACCCTGCCACGCCAGGATCTGCTCCAAACGGAGGTACAAAGATTCCTGTCAACTGGCAAATCAAGACCAAACCCACTGCTGCCGTGTCGACAGTGAGTGCGAAGAGCAAACTACCCGCTACCTTTTCCTGCCCGCACATCTGCAGCTGTGACCAGATCCCTGGCTCGGGTTTAAAGGTTAATTGCAATGATAGGAATGTGAGCAGCTTGGTGGATTTGAAGCCCAAGCCCTCCAATGTGCAGGAGCTGTTTCTGAGAGACAACAAAATACACACTATCAGGAAATCCCACTTTCTGGATTACCGAAAACTTAATTTACTCGATCTGGGCAACAACAACATTGCCACCGTTGAGAACAACACCTTCAAGAACCTCTTTGATCTCCGATGGCTCTACATGGATAGCAATTACCTAGACACCCTGTCCCGGGAGAAATTTGCTGGGCTGCAAAACCTGGAGTATCTGAACGTGGAGTTTAATGGGATCCAGATGATCATGCCTGGCACCTTCAATGCGATGCCCAAACTGAGAGTCCTCATCCTCAACAACAATCTGCTGAGGTCTCTCCCAGTAGACGTGTTCGCCGGGATCTCACTTTCCAAGCTGAGCATACACAACAATTATTTCATGTACCTCCCAGTGGCGGGGGTGCTGGACCAGCTCACCTCCATCACCCAGATCGACCTGCACGGCAACCCATGGGACTGTACGTGCCCTATCGTGCCTTTCAAACAGTGGGCAGAGATGCTGCGCCCCAAGGTGATTATGAGTGACCTGAGGTGTGAGTCCCCTGAAGATTTCTTCAAGGAGGATTTCGAGTCTCTCTCCAACGATGTGATTTGCCCTCAGTTAAAAATCTCTCCCACATTAACTTCTACTAACAAAAACAGCACCGGGTTGACAGAGACAGGTACTCACTCCAACTCCTACTTGGAGACCAGCCGGGTCTCTATTTCGGTGCTAGTGCCAGGGCTTCTGCTGGTTTTTGTGACCTCTGCCTTCACAGTGGTTGGCATGCTGGTTTTCATCCTGAGGAACAGAAAACGGTCCAAGAGGAGGGACGCCAACTCCTCTGCATCTGAAATCAACTCCTTGCAGACGGTCTGCGACTCGTCCTACTGGCACAACGGGCCCTACAGCGCCGACGGGGCCCACAGGGTGTACGACTGCGGCTCCCACTCCCTGTCGGACTGAGGCGGCGGGCGGGGCGGGGGCGGCCGCCACCCGGGACCGGCCATCCATGCGCCGGCCGGGGACAGCTCTGCACCTCCGCCGCTACCTTTTGTGAGAAGAGAAACACACAGACACACGCACGCCCTTCCTCACGACCCGCATAGCAAGCGCCGAGGCCCAGTGGGCGGCGGGGGGAGCCCGGCGCCGGAGCGCATCCCTGCAGCGCTGCGCAGCCCGCCGCGGTGCGCGCATCCCCCGCCCGTGCGCGGCCGGAGCAGCGACGGACAGACGAGGAACAGATTCCCTCGGCTCCGGCAGGGCGAAACACGGCTCCTGGTTTTGTTGGGCTTTTGTTCAATTGTGTTGGGGTTTGATTTGCTTTTTTGCCCTCTTCCCTTGTGGACCGACCCCTTTCCAAGAGGCCGGGAAAATGAGGGGAGCAGAGGACTGGTGTTGGCCTCCTCCTGACGGCCAAGCAGGAGTGGAAAGTTGCACGAAGGCATGAATGTAATGTAAATAAATGACTCCGACTCCGAAACAAACAGACAAATGGACAAAAAAAAAAAAAAAAAAAAAAAAGTGCTGCATGGCTCGCATGGATACAACGCACCCCAGGGACGCTCCAGCCCCCGACTGGAAGCAGCGTCTAGTTCACACCATCATCCCTCTTACCTGATAAGTCCCTTCGTATCAAACCTTCTATATACGAAATACAGTATAATAATAAAAAGTGCCATTTCGCCAGATTTTTTTTTGTGTGATCAATAGGCAGTAGAGATCGTACTTTTACTGTGGAAAAAAAATTGTAAAGATTTTATTTAAGACATAGTTGCATGAATATTCTCATTGGATTTTTTAAATTTTATTTTTATTTTTACGTCTAGGTGGGAATTACTTTGCTGGGAGAGATTTGCTTTGTTAATAATGGGTTGTGTTTCATTTTTTCAGGGGAGGTGGGGAGGGTAGGCTTTGGTTTTGTTTTCTCTCTCTTCTTTTTCAATATACATAATCAGTATTGCCTTTCCATCTGAATGTAAAAATTAGTACCCTTGATTTCTATTATGGTAACAGTGTAAACATAAAAAAACAAAAAAAAATCCAAGGCAGTTAAGCATGACCAATTAATGTCACTCTAGCGCTTAGGCTGCAAAGTTTAATGGTAGAAAATTCTGTGCTGTTGTAAATCTTACTATAACTTGAGGAAAACAGAACTGAGGAAGCAAGTGAAACTTACTAATTCTATTCGAGGATTTTATAATGGCATATTTTTTCAGTATTAAAGTGAAAATGTTTTCAACTCCGGGTCCTTACCATTTTTCCAGCATCCAATTCTTGCAAATGGGTTACTTGGGTTTAGGGGACAGAGCCTCCTTTCAGTACTCTGTGTGTGTGTGTCCCTCCCTCCCTCCCTTTCTTTCCTTCCCTTCCTTTTTCTCATTCATTCACAGGCAGAGGCACAAACACCCTTCCTTCCCCCCTTTCCCAATGTAAATAACAGAGAAGTTTCCTGCCTGCCTCCTCTCTCCTCCCTTCTCCCTCCCCTCGCCTCCCTTTTTTTTTTTTTTTTTTTTAACGAGGCAGTGAATCCCTTTATTAATACTGTGAATCTCATGCTGCTGCCGCTGCTGTCACCGCCTCTGCTGCACACATTGCAGATATATTAGGGATGTTAGTGGGAATTTGCTTTAAGTGCCTCTGCCCAGCTTGGTCTCATTAAGCTGGAGCCGATTTTCCGCGGCCAGAATTCCCGCCCGGGAGCAGCTTGCCCGGTGGGGCAGCTGCGGGCGGCCGGGCTCCAGCAGCTGCCGCCAGTGGGAAAAGCGAATTAGCCCGCAGAGATTTTCCCGTTCCTGCACTGGGTACCTCTACCCTTTGATATTAAAAGCTGAAAAAAACACGGCGCAGTGCTGCAGTTGGACTTCAGGCAGCTCGCCTTTGATCCCCTTCCTGTACGGGAAAGTGCCCCTAAACTCAGTCAAACCTGTAAAGGCAAAAGTCTCTGCAAATCACTTGTAACTCACAGCTCAAGTCCCAGTGGAGATATGGAGAATTTCAGTCACGTTGCTCCTGGCTTTCTCCCGGCAGAGAATCCTTTTAAAGAGTAAAACACTGTAAGGGACTTAGTAAACTTCAAATACTGATTTGGTTTGCTTTACAGAAAAAGCCCACCTTTGGGATCTGTGAGGAGGAAACAGACAAACATACACATTGCAATAGGTATGCTCTTGAAAGTGAAGCATAAGTCTGATTACAGGTATTCATGAAGAATTAAACACAAGAAATACACCATTCCTCCAGAATCCTTTATCACTGTGGAAAAATCTTCAGTCTCCTAGAAAATACCTTGAAATTTGGTTGTGGAGCTCCGAAAATTGCATGGCCTGCTTAACTATATCAACCATTCTTATTTCAAGGTCCTTTCTTTATTCCACCTTGCTGCTTCCTTAGACAGATTGTTCTGCCAGGATGCTCTGTGTAAGACAAAGTGATGTCAGTAGAGGCACTACTTTGCCATTGTGAAATCCACCGTTGAATAGTTTGAGAAGAAAAAATAAATGCACTTACATGTGAGCCAGTAATTCTGTCCTTAGAAGGCCATCATATTTAGCTTAGAAAGAGTCCAAAATAACCTGTTTAGGTATGAGCTGGTGCACGTCTAGCAGACAACCTAAGTTTAGCTGCCTTCTTTTTGATAGTGTAGTGGCAAAATTGAGAACACATCCCATGCTAAAAAGAATAATAATAATTACATTAGAACCACTGAAATGGAAGTTAAGATAAAATGCACAATAAATTAAAATGTCAAATCACTGGCTGAGATCAGACATGCATGCATTTCAGAGAATATAATTCTAAATACGTAATTTCAATTTGTCATCATTGAAAAGTAACATAAAGTTGGAAAGGTGCTCATTTAGCTTCCTAAAAGTTCTAGTTCATTGGCAAACCAATATAGAAATGTCAATTCAATTGAAATGTTGAAGACATGCATTTATCACCCTGCTTCTAGGTTGTGGAAAAATTACAAAATGGAATTTTCTATATAATTTTCAGATTTTAACATTCACAGGATTTTTTCTTCCATCTTGAAGAGACTTGCTCTTAAGAGACATAGATCACCCAACTCTCTGAGATGATGTAATAATTACCAGGCCTTGAATTACAATGCTTATCTTATTTACATGTTTAGCACTTCCATGATTATTTTTATCAAACAAAATACTTAACAAAAAAGAAACATAAGAGAAAGAAAAAGGATTATTGAGGAAGTTTTGGAGAGAAGTGTAAATATATTAAATATGTTCAGTTGTACTGCATTAAGAGCAATAACCAAAAAGTAAATGTTTTATTTGCTGCTAATGACTGCCATGATATTATTTCTAATATTAGAAGCCTATAAGATATCCATGCTGTGTCAGAATGGGCATTTTTTCCTGCTAACTTAAGACTATTGTAACTTCAAGTATAGTATATATAGCATTTAGTTACTTATTGCTTAATCATCACAGCATTTCTGTTCTTTCAGAAAAGGCAGAAAAGAGAATTGTTATTTATCTAGTTTAAAAGGGTTGTTTGTGCTTTGTTTTTGTTTCTGCAAACACTTCAACTAAGAATAGCCTAGAATTTAAACTGTTGCCATAGAAATCCATGCCTTTTTACATGGTAGCCTCCTGCATGCCATTGCAGAAGAGTGAACAGAATTCTAGAAGCAACCTGAAAAATTTTTAATTCATACCCAGGGTGATGTATGTCATTTTGAGAAAAAGTGTGCTGTTGGAACTGCATAGAAATGTGTTATTATGTTGCTTTGCTAAATGTATTGGCTGTGTCAGGTTATTTTCTAACTTCAGGGCAGTTGTATTGAAAATACAGTTTCAGATCTGATTGCAAACTAAGTGATGTAATCTTTGAGGGGGTTTATTGTTCGGTTTGAGTTAGTTGTTTTTTTTTTTCTTAGTGGTTTTATATTTAGTTTAGTTTGGTTTTTTTGTTTTCTTTTTTTTTTTTTTTCTTAGTGGTTTTATATTTAGTTTAGTTTGGTTTTTTTGTTTTCTTTTTTTTTTTTCTTAGCAAGACTGGGGGCAGATGTCATCTGATGTAGAAGAAAAGGGTTTGTGTGCTAATCTTCACTCAGGTAGAAAAGCCGTGAACTACGCAAAGTGAACAGTTCACATTTTTTCAGATTGGTGGCAAAAGTCATTAGGGTGAAAATTAGGGCAGAAAGAGGCTGATAAATGCTCATCTTTCCCAACAGAATGATTTCTATCTTCCATTACCTGTGAAACGATTTGTAGATCTCATAAATATCAAAGTTTCCCAAAGACAAGTAGCTCTAAGTAAAGTTACAAACTCTTTCCCATTGTATTTTTGTCAGTGGTTGATTAAGTTGCAAAAGACAGCAGAAATTTGTTTGAGATAAAATTGCTCTTTTTATTTTCTGTGTAACCTTCTCCTAGGCTTCATCTGGGGGCTTTCTTGGAAAATGATGCACAAGATATCAGATCTTTAACACTTTTTTTTTTCTTATATTTGGAGTTTGAATCTGCATGGCAGTTGTTTTCTTCTATACCAAACTCTGTAATTTTTTGAACTATTTGAATCAGTCAGAGAGAATTTGGATGAATTTTTATTCACACATAATCAAAAATGGACACTCTTAAATGTTAAAGGATCTCATTAGGTAGATCCTTCTGTATTTAGCAAAGTTCCCATAGACGTATGTAAATAAGATGGGATATTATTCAATGTGCTTGTGCAGTCCAAATTTATGCGATTTTTTGTGATTTATGGAACAGAAATTTCCAGGCATTGGGCAGAGCATTTGACTACTGTTGGGATGAAGTCAGAGGGTGAAGAATTAATAGGTTGTGTTGGTAAGATATGGTTGTCCTAATATGCAGATATTTCTGTTATCTGTTTAAAATGACCTGTTTAAACTGTATTAGAAGTATGGACATGGCCAATCAGAATCACAAAAATAATTTTATTTTACTAAGTTTTCCCCAGAGCAATATCAGCACTGGAAAAAATGGGGACAAAAAAAAATATAGCAAATGTATTATATTAAATTACATTAATTATGATTATGTTTAGCAATGGTACCTTAGTGGGTTAACTTGTAACAGATTATATTTAACATAATATCTGTGAGTTTTAGAAGCCTTTATAATTTTTTCATTTTGGGTTAAGAAATATAAATGAGATCCCTCAGTATTACTTCTTCAAGATTAATTGCCAGGTCAATGGGCATTTTGTCATGCTGAATGATTCCATTTACTAGTTAAAGTTTCTGGATCAATTTTTGTGACTACTTCCTATATACATGCTTCAGTCATGTGAGAGAGGAACAAAGTCACCAGAAAGTCCCATGGGAGGAATTAGTCTCTTGCATCATACACTTGAAGACTAAGATCAAAAATTCATAGCAAAGAATGAACAGAAAAAGCCCATTGTAGAATACACTCAGTTGACCCTAGGTGAATGACTGCTTAAACTACCATTATTTATTGGTATAAGTGGCACAAAGTGCCCTTGGCAGAAAACACTGGCTCGATGGAAACATTGGTACCATCAAAATTCCTCAGTAGGTCACTTGTTCTATTAGGTAGTCAGATTGATTCCCCTCAGCTGCTTTCCAGCTAAGCCACTGGAACAAATTCTCTTAGCTATTAATGACTTTTGATGATGTCATGAGCATTCAGACAGACCCCTCAAGCTTCGGTCTTAAAGAATGTCTAACTATGGATTGTCATATTTGGTTTATGTTACTTTATTTCATTCCTGAGTCAACTGCATCTCTTGCAAGCAGAATTTTAGCAAACAGGAGGCACAAAAATGTGATGAGGAAAACAAAAGAATGTGAAGATAATGTTTTTTTTTTACTTTAAATGAGGATTCAAGTAGTAAAGATGGGTGGGTACATTATAGAATTCTATGAAGGAATTAAGAAGCAGTATGGTCAGGTGGAAAAAATTAGGAATATGACTCATTTTCTGGATTATTATCTGACCTGAAATTAGGTGGTATCTTTTTCATCTAGTTTGATGGGCTTGGATGAGTTGCCCTAACAGTCAGTAGTGCCCTAAGAGGTGTCCCAGAGTATCTGAGGTGTGTGCATGAGACTAATAGACACAAAAAAATGAACTAGGGCACACTAGAATATTTATGAAGTGGCACCTGGACTCTAGAATACATTATGGAATTTGGAATAGGAGTAGACATCCATGTGGGAACAACTGAATTTAATTCTTGATCTACCCTGAGAGCCTGGTGGGTTGGTTCACCTGGTACACATAA